AGGATCCATCAAAGGAAGGGTGAAAAAGGAACATAATCTCATTTTCTTCCTCTCTAATTTAACATCAACAGTTGTCTGACAGGCAGAATTTTAAGTATCTTTATTGCATTGGTCTTGGCCACTGATACCATTTGAATGTATCTTCCAAATTTTATGTATAGGAAACTTACTCCCCAAATTCATATGTATATAGTATTTTGAGGTGATCCTCTGGGAGATCATTAGGATTAGCTAAGGTCATCAGAGTGGTTTCCCCGGCTTTATAAGAAGAGAAACCTGAGTTGACATGTTCTTGCTCCCTCCCACCATGTGATACTTTCCACCATGTGATGATACAACATGAAGGCCCACACAAGATGCTAGCCCATTGACCTTGGACTAGCCAGCCTCCAGAACTGTGAACTAAATAAACCTCCATTCTTTATAAATGACTCAGTTTGTGATACTCAGTTATAGCAACCAAAAATGGATAACACAACTAGGTTCTACCTTCCCCTGTTGTTGATACTCTCAGGTCTATGATTTTAACATGAAATATTTTTTCTTTGAAAAAAGATAGAATAATTTTCTTTTAGTATGGGAAAGTATTATGTTAATATAACCAATGCTAATTGCTTCATGCATGGAGCAGGAGACAAAGCAAACAGATCTCACATGGCTTCAAAATAATTTGGATTACATTTTGAATTCAGACCTGTGTCATCAACTGTGATAATAACTAAGAATGTACCAGGATTTTTATCTGACAATAGCAGATATTGTATTGAATTCATTAATACTTGATTCATCAAATAGAAGATTATATCTGGGGAAATAATGAGTTTAGTGATCACATGAAAACCAGTGTGACATATGCTGGATCATATTTCTAGTATCAAGGCTTGATATCAAAGAGAGTATTAATAGATGCATGTGAACTTTTATTCGTCATAAACTGACACCCAGTGACATAATCATTAGCTCACCAAAGCTTCCTATTTTCAGCAGAGAGTAAACATTCCAGGTGTGACTCTAAAATAATAGTGTTGATTATTGTGGAATCTGCTTCATTGCTTTATAATCAAATTACATGGCCTCTTGGAGTGATTTGCCTTTACTTTGAGGCAACAGGCTTACCAAAAGAAAAAGAAAAAGTAAAATAATAGTTGTTACTCTACAAGTTTTATTTTATTTGTACCTTTTGAAATCTTGAAATAGGATTGGTCTAATGGCCTGGTGGTTAAGGGAGCTGGGTCCCCAATGACCAACCACACAATTGCCATACTCATTCTGGTGGCTTGAAAAAGACACGCTGGGCGTGAATGTCCAAAATCCCAATAGGATAGAGAAGTGTCTCTCTCTGGTGTGTGTGCCTTCTGATTAATAAACAAACAAATAATATTCAAATGTATTTTGACTGGAACCAGCAGATAGTGTAATGGCTATGTTACTGAATTCCCACGTAGTTGGGAGTCCTGGACCCAGTGACCTAAACTCATACCAGGCACATGTGCATGTGTGCCCAAGATCCCAAGAGGAGAATGGAGGAGAAGGGATTGTGGCATGTCCATACTCCCTAGGGGTTGATTTCTTTCTTTTTAAAGAGAGATTTTTGCTATAGAGTGTATGTGTATGCCAGAGAGTCAGAGAGAGACAGAGAGACAGAAAGAGAGAAGTCACCTCACAGGGAAATGGCCATACTGCAATCCCTTCTCCTTCATTCTCCTCTTGGGGTTTTAGGCATGCACACACAGGTGCTTGGTGTGAGTTTTTTTTTTTTTTAAGAATTATTTTATTTAGCTTTATTTATTATTATTATTATTTTCCAGTTTGATCAGAGAGAGAGGGAAAGTGAGAGAGCAAGCCACCAAGTCTGAAACTTGAACCATGATTGTTCATGTGGGAATACAACACCTTTAGCCACCATACCACTTGCCAGCCCCCTGGAGTGAGTTTTAAGGCCCTGGGTCTAAGACTCGAACCACAGTCAACTATATGGGAGTCCAGTGATATAACCATTACACCATCTGCTGGTCTCCTGGGGGATGATTTCTAACTTTCTGTCTTTCTCTCTCTGTCTCCTTCTGATGAGAGCACACTCCCTATAGCAAAAACTAAAAACTAAAAAAATAAAAATAAAAACAAAAAATTCTCCAATTAGCTAAAGAAAAAAGAGGAGTTTGAATGTTCCCAACACAAAATAATGACAAATGTTGAGATGATAAACTAATTACTTATTTGATCATTACATGTTGTATTCTTGAAGTGAAAACTCATATTGTACCCCAGAAATAGTCACAATTGTTATATGTCAGTAAAAAAGAATATTTAATAATATGGGAACTGTTCATAGTATATTTTTAAAAGGGAAAAAGTTATTAAATATTCTGTGCCAGATATTATGGTAAGTTGCTATGTATACATAATATCATTTAATCTTATGTAAACTAAAGGTATAATCAATTATGTTATTATCTCTATTTTACAAATGCAGAACCTGAGTCAGAATTAAGAAATCTGGCCAAGATTCCACACTTCTAAATGGCAAGGTCAGGATTTGAACTTAGATCAGTTTGACTCTAGAGCCCATGTACTTAGCCACTATACTGTATTGTGTCTTGTCAAAATAATAAACACAGTATGATGTTATTTTGGTTAAGATATGCGTACATACCATATATGTGTGCGCACACGCAGGGAGAAGAAGTGGAAGGGAACACATAAACATTTTGAAATGACTATCACCAGGAGTCAGTTTATAGGTGATTTTTATGTCTTCCCTATAATTTCTTATATTTTCCAATTTTTCTTAGATGAATATTTTTTTAAAGATGTTTTTTCCTAGGGCCAGCAGGTGGCATGGTGGTTAAGGGCACTGGACCACCCATGATTTGAGTCATAGAACTGGTGTCTTGCTTTCTCACTTTCCCTCTCTCTCTCTCTCTCTCAACTCTTACTCTCCGTCCTCCTCTGGTCAAATTAAAAAATAAAAAAATAAATAAATAAAGTTAAATAAAATAATTATTTTTTTTAAAAGAAGATTTTTGCCTTAGGGCACATTTGCTCAGAGACAGTGAGAGGGAAAGTGATTCATCACCCCTTGAGGGGATGTCCCACTGCAATCCCTTCTTCATTCTCCTCTGGGATCTTGGGCACACATCCACATGTGCCCTGTGTGAGTTTCAAGCCACCAGGTCCAGGACTCAAACTGTACTCGGCCATGTGGAAGTCCAATGACATAACCACCACACCATCTGCTGGCCCCCCTTAGATGAACATTTTATAATCAATACAAATATTACCATGAATAACACAAAACAAACATATTGAATCTACACAAACAAAAGAAATGATATGTTAACTTTGTATTAGGTATTATAATCGACCTAGAAATGATTTTAGGTATATGAAAGGATGTACATAAGTTATTGCAAACACAGCACCATTTTATGTAAGGGACTTAAGCATCTGTTGACTTGGGTGTTCCAGGGGGATTCTGGAGCCAACCCATTGCAGATACAAAGGGACGACAGTACATAGACTGGGTGGCTTAAACCCAGAAATGTATTCTTTCACAGTTCTGCAGGCTGGAGGCCAGAGCTCGAGGTGCTCCAGAGTTGGCTTCTTCTGAGGTCTCTCTCCTTGGCTTGCCGACAGTGGCTTTCCTGCTCCATCGGACGTGGCCTTCTTTGTATACGTGCATCCTTGGTGCCTCTTCCTCTTCTGATAAGGGCACCAATCATACTGGACTCAAACCCCGTCCCGATGACCTCATTTAACATTACTTACCTCCTTGGGGTCTTATCTCCAAATACAGTCACATTGGAGGTTAGGCCTTCAACCTCTGAATTTTAGGGGCTGCAATTCTGACTAGTACAAGACTTGAACTTCAAGTGCTACTCAGAATTGAACTCAGTGTAGGTTCTGAGAAGCAGCGGGGACACGCAGCAGAGCTGAGCAGGGACAAGGGCACGATCCCAGCCTGCCCTCACACCATGTGCACTCCTCCGCAGTCCTCCTTCATCCTCCTGACAATCTCTTCCCATCCTAGTTCCTCTGCCGTATGGAAGCCCAGAATGCACTGGATGTGAGGAGTGGACCCTTTCTATAAACAACTCCACTTCCCGAGATTATAAAAATATGAAACCCAAATTCTGAAATGAACTAGCAGGATATTGGACAGAGAAAACTGAGACTGTGGCTAAAGATCAAACAACCGAGGTCTATAACTTGCTCATAAATCAAGTTTGAAGGTCAAGTAGCAGATGCTGTCAACGCCCTGGCCGCATTCCTCAGCCTCAATGTCACAAAGCAGAGCTCATATCCCCAGGGCCTGAGGGCTTTCTCTGGTCACAGAGCCAACTGTGCCTTTAGGCAGGGGAGGGTGGAAGTCCTAGAGAACGAAGGAACTCAGCCCCACACCAGCGGCCAGACCAGGGGCCCGGGAAGCTGGGATTCCATTCTCTGTTGGCTCCCAGAGGTCCCAGCGGGATGAAGCTGCAGCACCCTCCCACATAATCTTAGTGCCCCCTCCGTATTTGTGGCCTTCATCTCCTGTCTCACTTTGCCTGGCTCCTACCCATTTTTATTTTTATTTTTTTAGGATTCTGCCATAGAGTGCATGTGCTCACCAGAGAAAGAGAAAGGGAAAGTGAGAAATAATGGCAGGAGATGGCCATGCCGCAATCCCTTCTTGTCCATTCTCCTCCTGGGATTTTGGGGATGCATACACATGCCCCTAGTGTGATTTTCTTTCTTTCTTTCTTTCTTTCTTCTTTCTTTTTTTCTTTCTCTCTCTCTTTCTTTCTTTCTTTTTAAAGAATTGTTTTATTTATTATTTTATTTGTTTTTTTTAGACAGACTCATTTATTTGACACATTAAATATGCAAAGGAAGGTATATGAATAGCATAAAAAGAATCACATTCTCCTACTACTTGAACACACAACCGTGGTCAAAAATAATGAACTGTAGAATGGACCCTAGGATTTAATGCAAAAAGCACTCCGTACAGAAAAGTTTCAGGCTTCTAACTTCACTGAATCTAGTACTAAACGTACTTCTTTATAGTCTTCAGCTTCTTCCAAATCTTTTTCCTTTTCTAATATCTGCTGAAGATCTGTGTACGCAGCTTCCAATCTGCACTGGCAATCTGGGATCATCGTCCAGGACTCTTGTATGATCTCTGCCTGATTTTTAATGGCGTAATTTTCACCATCTTCAGCTTTCATTTTTCCGATCATTTCTTGTTGTTTTGCTTCGTTTTCATACATCGCTTTTCCTTTGACGAATCGCTTCACCACACCAGTCTTCATCTTGATCTGCCTCATGTAAGGATCGGCCATGGTCCCTTGAGCACCAAGAAACTTACTTATTTATTATTATTTTTCAACTTGGCCAGAGAGAGACAGAAAGAGAGAGAGAGACAAGGAGGAAGTGAGAAAGCAAGCTGCTAGGTCTGAGACTCAAACCGCAGTCTGCCATGTGGGAGTCCAGCACCTTAATCACTAAGCCATCTGCTAGCCCCACCTGTTGTGTGATTTTCAAGCCGCCAGGTCTGAGACTTGAACTGCAGTCAGTCATGTGGGAGTCTAGCACCTTAACTACCATGCCATCTGCTGGCCCTCATACCTATGTTTTTAAGTCAGCTTTCAAGTAATGCCTTGCTTTTGAATCTTCTGTTCACTCTGTCCCCACCTCACAGACTATTTATCTACTTACTTAGTTTTTTCCAAAATGTAAAACAAATATTGCTATAGGGTGCATGCGCTTGCCTGAGAGAGATGGAGAAAACATGTGGTGGGGATAGCCATGCCATAGTCCCCTTTTCTTCCATTTCTTCTCAGCTTTTCAAGCACCAGATTTGGGACTTGAACCGCAGTCACCCATGCAGGATCTGGCCTCCTTAACCAGCATGCTACTGGCTGGTCCCAGGTTATTTATTAATAAAGAAAAGACACCTGAGAGATGCCAGCTTAACAAAACGAACAGATTTAACATCACCAATAATGGGGCAAACTGAGCCAATGAGAAGTACATAGCGTCACTGCCCAGGCAAATGTGACCAGATGGTCCCTCTTGGTGATTCTGGATGAAGGGTCTGTGCACTATTTTTCCATTTTTTTGTAGTTTTCAGAATAAGTGGAGGAGATGATTACATTTCTTGTGGGTGGTAGTTTATGGCAACCAATATCTTTCTCATAGATGTGAAACCTACATTTATTTTATTTTAGATTTTTGCCATAGGGCACATGTGCTCGTCAGAGAGAGACAGAGAAAGAGACAGAAAGAGAAGGAAAGTGAGAAATCAGCCCCCAGGGAAGATGGCCTCTCGCAATCCCTTCTCTGCCATTCTCCTCTGAGAATTTTGGTCATGCCCCCACATGTGACCAGCCGTTTTTCAAGCTACTGGGTCCAGGACTTGAATCATAGAGTTAACCATGTGGGACCCAGTGTCCAGCCTATACTCATTTTCGAACATATTAACTCATTATGAACAAATTGGCTGACCTTTGTTTAACTGACATCTTGTTTAAGTGAATTGATATGAGAGTTGAAGAACTTCAAAAAGTTCACAAAAAGTGGCATTAAACATGTTTATTATGATGCCCCTAAAACTGAAATGCATGAGTAGTTTTTTTTTTAATAATATGTCATTTTCATGAACATTCTGAAGATGTCTCATATAAAAATGCATCCCCCTTTAGAAACCAGAAGGGAACTGACAGACCAGTTACCTAAAATTTACATGTCTCTGTTACCAGGGAGAGAGTGCCCTGGTAACTTCTCATATATGTCATCTTGTTTCTTTCAGCAACTTAGATGCAAAATATGTCACTGGGCAGATGTCCCATAGAACCAACACACACAGGGCCAACAGGTGGCATGGTGATTAAGGGCACTGGATTCCACATGGCCAACCACAGTTCAAGTCCCAGACCTGACGGCTTGCTTTCTCACTTTCCCTCTCTCTCACTCTGTCCCTCTCTGGTCAAATTATAATAAATAAATAAATAAAGTTAAATATTTCTTTCTTTTAAAAAAACCAACACACATGTGCGTTCACGTAACAGGGCACATGTGCACAGTGCGTCCAACCAGTAAGTTCTGAGTTTAACTAACTTGTCTTTTAGCACTAAAAGACCAGTATCTCAAATCTAGATTCAGCATTTTTTGAGATTATTATGAAATGTGGTAGCCTTAGTTCATGGAATAAACCTTTTAAAATGTATTTTTTCTCATTTAATTATTTAGATTCAATGTTTATAAGAGAGCGTTGAGAACTCTGAATATGCTTCCATCAAATTCAAAGTATTGGTACTCTCTGGACACCTCAGGGTAATTTCTAACATTATGACAAATATAAAAACCTGAGTGGCTGAACTTGTGAGTATAAAGTAGTTATATTATGGCGTTATAAAGCATCTCTCAAAAGGATCCCTTCTGTCATATATTAGAGTTCATTTCTATAACATAAAGCTTCACATTTACACGGGGGCATCTCGGGAATAGTTGGATTCAGGCTTTGCTTCAAGCACTGATGGAAAGAATGCTTCTTGCATTACCATAAGAATATAAAAGGAGAGATATATCTCTATATGACCCTAATTGTAATAGCTTAAAAATGTGATTACGGGGACCAGCAGATGGCGTAATGGTTATGTCGCTGGACTCCCATGTAGTCAACTGTGGTTCGAGTCTTGGACCCGGCAGCTTAAAACTCATGCTGAGCACGTGTGTGTGTGTGCTCAAGATCCTGAGAGGAGAATGGAGAAGAAACTGTGGTGTGACCATCCCCCATAGGGGGAGGGGTGATTTCTCACATTCTGTCTCTCTATCTCTCTCTAGCGAGTTCACATGCCCTATAGCAAAAATCTCTCTAAAAAATGATTATTGGGGGAACCAGCAGTTAGCGTAATGGCTATGTCGCTGGACTCCCATGTCGTCGACCGCGGTTCGCGTCCCGGACCCGGTGGCTTAAAACTCACGCTGGGCGTGTGTGCTTGCGTGCCCAGGATCCCGAGAGGAGAATGGAGGAGAAGGGATTGCGGCGTGACCATCCCCCCTGGGGGGTGATTTCTCGCTTTCTGTCTCTAATGTCTCTCTCTGTCTGTCTGGCGAGCGCACACGCCCTACAGTGAAAATCTCTCCAAAAAAAAAAAAAAGTGACTATTGGGCCACTCCTTAGTGTAGTAGTTAGGTGCTTCACAGTGGAAGCCAGATTCCATATGGTCGACCAGGGTTCAAGTCCCAGCCCTGGTGACTTAAAAACATGCTGGATATGAATGCACATGCCCAGTATCCAGAGAGGATGGTGGCTTAGAGAAAAAAGGATTGCAGTGTAACCAGGCCCTATTGCTATGGTTCCTCTCTCACTGTCTCTCTTACACATGTTTGTGCATGTGTACACATGCAGCCTCTGGCATTAAAAAATAGGTATGGCTATGTATAAATTATGTCATTTATTTAAGCTTCTGTGTGTGTGTGTGTGTGTGTGTGTGTGTATAGTAACAAATCTAAAACATACAAATGCATTTTTAAAATTATTTATTTATTTATTTATTATGATTTTCAAGCTAACGGGTCTGGGGACTTGAACCATAGTTGGCTATGTGGGAATCCAGCATTCCAATCACCACACCACCTATCCCTAGAATTTTTTTTTTTTTTGAGAGATTTTCGCTATAGGGCATGTGTGTTCACTGGAGAGATAGAGAGAGACAGACAGACAGAAAGGGAGAAATCACCCCCCCCCAGGGGGGATGGCCACACAATCCCGTCTCAGGATTTTGAGTATGCATGCACACTTGCCCTGCATGAATTTTAAGCCTACAGGTCTGGGACTCAAACCATGGCCAACTGCACGGGAGTCCACCGATGTAACACTTACACCATATGCTGGTCCCACCACACATATGCAATTTTTAAAATAACTATTTAATTTTATTTATCCATTCATTTATTTTCATTTGAACAGAGAGAGACACAGAGACAAAGAGGGAGAGGGAAAGTGAGAAAGCAAGCCGCCAGGTCCGCGATTCGAACCATGGTCAACTATGTAAGAGTCCAGAGATGTATCCATTACACCATCTGCTGGTCCCACAAATGCGATTTTTAATTGGTCAAAAAATGACAGTGAGGGTGAGGAAGGCATGTATTCCCTTAGTCTTACTAGCAGTATTGATCATATCCCTTTTTTGGAACTCGTCCTTTACTGACTTTCACGATATACATGTTTTTACTTCTCTTCTGGCCTCTCTGGCTACTTGACTTCATTCTCCTTTGATAGCTCCTTTTCCTCTAATCACTCCTGAATATTATTTTTCCCTGGGTCTTTTACCTGGCTCCATCTTCACTCTACACACTCTCTCTGGGGATTCATACATAGCTTTGGCTACCAGTGATAAGTTGCAAATATTCACTTTGAGCCAAAGTTGCTCGTAAGGACTTAGTGGTCAAGTCTGTGTTTTCCTGCTAAACATCCACCCTCCTATGACCCAAGGGCCTTAAACACAAGTCCGCCATTCATACCCTTTCCTCCAAATGCCCGCCTTCCCTTGATCAACAGGTGATGATGTTCTTTCCCAACACAAAATTTGGGGATTTTCTGAGACTTCTCTCTTTCCTTTGACTTAAAATTAATTGCTCAATAAGATCTCTTGATTCTGTAACCTAAATCATTTAGAACTCTTTCTCTTCTTTCTACCTTCACTTTCAATGACAAGGTTGACACACCAACATTTTCGTCATGCTCCAAAATTATCTTCCTCTTCTGGAGACTATTTGTGAACCCACTCCTTATATTATGGTCAGAAGACTTTTCTTAATATGCAAATAATAATCATGTCTTTTCCTTGTTCAGAATCTTTAAAAAAATATTTGTTTAATTTTATTTATTGTTAATATTATTATTTTTTATTTGACCAGAGAGAGAGAGTGGGAAGTGAGAAAGCAAGCTGCTAGGTCTGGGACTCAAACTGCAATTGGCCATGTGGGAGTCCAGTGCCTCAACCACATGCCACCCACTGGCTCCACGCAGAATCTTTTAATAGCTCCCCTTTACTCTTAGGGAGGTTGCAAATTCCTTAGACTGCTCTACATGTTGGCTTGTTGAAAAAAGCATGACATATTTTTTCTATTTACTATGCCAAAAGTGTGTCATGACTTTTCAACAACCTAGTAGTCCTTCCTTCTCTGGCCCTTTGCCCAGTCACATTCATTGTACCACCATAATGACGGGTATTTGATCTCCAAATCTGTTTTTCTTAATAATTTTTTTTTTGAGATTTTTTGTTTGTTTTTTTTTTTTTTTTTTTTTTTTTGTTTTTTTTTTTTGTTTTTTTTT